ATCTATCTATCTATCTATCTATCTATCTATCTATCTATCTATCTATCTATCTATCTATCTATCACATTTATACAGCTGCCCATCTCACACAAAGCAACAATTGAGTTTGTTTTAAATAGAGGAACACACAATCACATTCCACCCCCACAAAGATTTGGGTATGGCTTCCAGAAACTTTCCAAACATTGCAGCTAAACTCTAATATTTAATGTGGCAGAAGGAGAAAATATTGCTATGATTACTCATATAGTAATCATATCAATTGTATTCATCCGTTCATTTTATTTTAATTAAGAAATAAATTTTAATTTGGACTTTTTTCTCCTTGCAGCATTCCAAGGTTTACAAAGGGGAACCGTTTTCCACAAGCATCCAAATCCAGTCCTCAAATCCTATACTGAAAATTAATGGAAGGAAGCGGGGAGTGGGACTAAGCTAGCTGTCGGAAGGATGGGAAGACTGGCTATATTATTTCTCTTTGAGTTAGAAAAAATGCAAGAGGATAACAAGATCTTGATTAGCAAGCATAACTATTAAGACATTACTCGGTTAATGGTTGAAATGAGTGTTATATTATCTTTCCAAATCCAAGCAAAAACAAAACAGCTTAGCTTCCCACAGTTAAATTGAGCTCTCATTAGCTGGGTCAGGGCCATAATGGCAAAAAAATAACATGATTATAAAAACTTGAGAATCAAAATAAGTCATTGCTTATTTTGATTCATTATTTCCTTTAATAAAAATATTAGATACATTGTACAAGTGAAAGTGATGTTCTTTTGTGAAATGGTTATGAAACGAGCATATGTCTTGGACAAAACAATATTCAGTAGAAGACAAGATATGCAGCTCAGGGTTGAACTGTTAGGTTCTTGGTGCTCTCTGAGCTTGGTTGCTTTCTGGCAGACATTTCATTTCCTGGCTAGAGAGCATCATCAGCGCACACTGAAGATGTTACCTAGCCAGGTAATGTAACATCTGCAAGAAAACAACCAAGTTCAGAGACCGCCAAAACCCAACATAAAAGCATATTTTCAAAATTAGATGACAGCAAATGGTAAGGTCCAAGATGCAATCCTATATGCACTTACATTGGAGTATATCACACTGAATGCAATGGACTTCTGAATTCCACTTCAATCACATTGAAATCAATAGGATATTTGCGGGGAGTTTTAATTTTAATTTCAATGGGACCTGAGTATAACTAATTTAGGCTTCTTACTTGGGAAGCAGTCACCTTGAATTCCTTTGAGTAAATGCACAAAGATTAAATTACCAGAATAGACATCACATTGATTGTTACATAAATGGTTGATTCCAACCTTTGTTTCCAGAAACAATAATATAATTAAGAATCAGTTAAATGACGTACCTTTCCAATTAATTAACTTTAGAGCAGATATGGTACTGTTTTAATTTTAAAGAAAAAAATTCTTGAATGAAAAACTACGTAGCTTACCCCAGCCTATTAAGATAAAACCCCATAGGTACTTGGTATCCGAAAAGAAAGCCACAAATATTAAGCTGTGTAGATAGAGGCCTTCAACCAAGATCCAATAGTAGTTTGTTGCCAAGAAGTAAATGAACATCACCACAGTAATCTTGCACCAAACCTATTAATCAAAAACAAAACAAAAAAATCCAATAGCTGTATTGGGGAAAATAAATCTAATAGTGTACTCATTTTTCATTGTCAAAAAACCTTATTAAATAGATATAATGAGGCATTAAAGCTAAGAGTAGGGATGCTTCATGTTCTTCAAATGTTTTTGTTTTCTGAGACATATTTAATATTTGTTACATAAATTTTACTAAAAGTTTAAAAGAGAACATAAAAACCAACACAAACTAATACAGAATAAAGAAACAAAGAGAGAAAGAGAGAAAAGAAAAAAGTGCAAAAAGAAAAGATAAAAAGAAACAGAAACTTCCAATTTCCTTTGCATACTTATATTTGTATAATTACAAAGTTAACTCTTACTCTATGATTAAAAAAAAAAAGCTAACTTTTTTCTATTATCTAATTTTTTTCTGATCATCAAAATCACAAATCATGAGTGCATTTTTTTTTCTGCTTCATGCAAGAAGTCTATAAGGAGTTTTTTATATATATAAATGTTATTAAAAGTTTGAAACAGAACATAAAAACTAACTTAAACTAATACAGAGTAAAGAAAACAAAAAAAGAAAAAGACAAAAGTGCAGAAAGAAAAGATAATAAGAAACAGAAAGAAGAAAGACGTATTTAATATTTGTGAGAATAACAGTAGTCAGAATTTAATAGGAAAAAAGTCCCTGCCCAGTTACTGCCAAGTATTTACATGGTTCCTGTCTTAGTCCAACATTTCTTTTTGTACCAATGTTGTTCATCTGAGGAAAGTCATTGGGGTCTTCTGCAGCAATAATGAGCAACTGAGTTGCATTAGACCAACTTCCATTTTTTGCCCCAGATAGCAAAAAATTGTGAGAAATACAGTCCAAAACAGTTGGAAGGCAAATGTTGCCTATATCTGTGACTCAGAGACTTGCTTCCTTAAAAATCAAATATCCATTAAGAAGCTGAGGTTCACAAATGCACACATAAGCAGACAAAGCTAATTCACCAGTGATGATCTGGGAAAAAATTTGGCCCAGATGAATATTGAAGTGGCTTTCTATACAGCCCAACACGAGCACTGCACTCCTTGATGTTTTATAGCATGATAGCCCAATCAAGCAAAGCAGACCCCACAATCTGGCTTCTGAACTATGTGAATTCAGGTGACCACCCTGTATCAGATACACCCATTTCAAGACCTGGGAAATAGGTATTCTTCTACTCCATTGCCAAAAGGGGTTGCCAACACAAATATTGGTGTAGAATATTGAATGTGGTGGACAGGCCTGGCCTACAAGCTTCTGCTGTTATCCCAGTCAAAGGTGGGCCCAGGACTCTTACCATTTCCTCAGATGCCCCAGCATGTAAGCCAGAGTAAAAAAGTTCAACAGCAGTCCAGGCCACATGGCAATTCTCATCTATGTAATATATAATCAAGAAAAGGTTATCCGCTACTTTCACCCAATCCTGGTTCTGTATAGCTGGTCTATGTTCCCAAAAGGTGCTCAAGGTACCAATGAATTATCCTCCCATCCCTATATTTTCAACTGGGAAGTCATCTGAAAATAATATAATTAATCTCAGATATTTTCATTAAATTTTACTGCTGCTAAATTGATTTAAAGAAAGACAACATGGCAATTGAGGTTTGGTATGTATTTACATGGAACTATTTCAGTAGATGCATAGAAATGAATGGCTACTGATTTGGGGTCTGCTAAAATGTATCACTGAGGAGCAGCACTGAGTTTTGGGCCTGAAATGTTCATGGATCAGGCGCTGACTCTGAAATTAATAGCTTCTGAGGCAGGGGAGTTTCTGGGGTGAGGAACTTGAAAAACAGGAGGGGAGCGGTACTTACATACTGAGATCTGTCCATGACTGGAGTCTGTATAATATTTTGTAGGTCACTTGTGAGTAGTGAGTCAAACTCTTTGTTTCCAAAATGAGGATGAGCAACTTTATCTTTAATAAAAATGCTGGTAGCTCTGAGCATGAAAGAGACAAATAAATGCAGATGTATACAATTCCGGGTGCAGTGGAGCCTCCTAGTTGGGGAAAAACACTATTTAAGGGAATGCAGAAGACCATATTGTTCCTATGAGGCAGAGAAGCTAGAAATCTCCCTTATTTTTGGTCCCTGGCATCTATTACTTAAAGGTACACTACTTCTGAACATGGTAGTTCCATTCTGATATCTTAGTAAATAGCTATGAGACATTCCTCTTGCCTTGCCTTGCCTAGCCTTCCTCTTGAATTTGTATTTTTTTCAAAAAGAGCCAGATCAACAGGCATTGCAAAGTCTTGCGGCTATAAACAGCTGTATTAATTTTCACAAAAGGAGAAAATGACAATTTTGAACCAGGGATAGCTATTAAGAATACGTGCATTATATAGTTCAACGAACCTGCTTTTAAAAACAAACTCTCTTTACCCAAAATCATTTGGGTCAAATAACCATTTCTACATTCCAATCAAAAATAACCTGTTACTACAAAAAACATTTTTCTCCATGAATTGTCTTTCACATTATTTCCAAAAATGACTCTGCTGTGCACATGCAAATTTAAGGAGCAAGGACTGAGCTTAGATTCTTCCATTAAGCCTTTCCAGAGAGCATCACATTTCTGAAAAGACAGTTTGCTGAATAAGCTATAACGCTCCAGGTTATACCTATTTCATTTTTGCTTAGCCCAGCGTTTGTGGTTTGTAAATCATGGCGTACAGTTTAGAATTATGTGTGATCCCATCTACCATGGTTTATTCAACAACCTATCATTAAGACAAATCAAGATTTAGTGCATTGTATGAACCCAGATTGTTTGTAACTGCAGAGGTTTGGTGCTAATTGGCATTTGAGACACTGAGATTTCAGGCACAGAAGGAGCTGAGAACAGGTTTAACCTTTTCAGATTGTTTTTTGTTCAAAATCCTAGGGTTTCATCCTCATGAATACAGAGGTGGGCACCTCATGAAATAGGAAGAGGTGCCCATTTCTTCCTTCTGATTTTTTACTGTTCAAAATTGTAAATTACCAAGGCTATTTGTGTGGGTGGGTGGGCGAGTGTAAAATGAGTTTTCATCAAAGTTATTTTATTGGATACAGGTTTTAATTCCAGGCCATAAAGCCCAATTTTATTATCCTGTTCCATGTATCAATGTCAGCAGAAGACTGAATTGCAGATGAATGGGGGATGATTTAGGGCTCATTTAAAGCAGTGGCTATGAACCAGTGGCCTGCAAGCCGAAATCAGCTCATAAAGCCTCCCTGTCACTGGGGTCACCTCATCTTCACCCTCTTCATGCTCTTGCCCCTACTTACCCAACTCCCCTTTGGGCTCTACACCATTATAAGTTTGAGATGATGCCCACCTCACAGTTTCTCCTTTTCTTCAAGAGATCATATTTTTTCCTGCTCTACTAGATTGCAGAGCTAGCGCTGGCTTTTCTCAGTGCTCTGGGCTGGATAAAACACTACTTCTTTGCCCCTTCCCGCTTTGCCTCTTCCTCTCTGTTACCTCATTGGGTCCCCACTCAGTACCATCTCTGCTTGCTCCAAGAAGAGGCTTAAGCTTTGGTTTCTTTCTCCCTACTATGGGATATGTTGAGAAGATGAAAGAAAGAAAGAGACCAGGTTTGCATCATATTAAGCCATAGATTGCCTTAAACATGGTCTGTTGAATAAAACAACACTGATGGACTTCACACATTATGCTAAGTCATAAAATACGACTTAAAAATACAAAGTCTGGGTTCACATTTCATACTAAGGCAAAGCAAACTGTATTTGGGCTCAGTGTGATGGGTAAAGTGGTGTGCGGATTAGGCTGAGATATGGCTCTGTGTGTCTGTGTGTTTGTGTGTGTTGACTGCAAGATCTACATAGCTTTTGGTCTAGCTCCACTTGCTGCTGGCATGCAATCTCTCAGTAAATCACTCACCTGAAGTAGCCAATGATGAAAATAGCCACAGCCAGAGAGGAGAAGGAAATGGAGTATCCCACTGTGTACATGACAGAGAGACGTTCGAAGAGTTCCCTCTGAAGAAACGACAGGAGAACTTCTAAATATCCATTTTACCTGGGTACACAATTGTTAGCTATGACATCATCTTTATTTCATCTTAAAAATCACTAATTTCTAAAATGTGCTTGTTAGAGAACTGAGCATAGAGTGCATTCAGTGGCTATGGTTAGGATGCTCAGAGCCAGTCCACCAATTTCTTGTATGGGGAAGGAGCATGGAGCCAGCACTGTAAAAGGAATTTCCTTGACTGACCCTTGGAGACAGCATACAATTTCTATGCATGGATTCTCATCGTTCTTTAACATTGCCAAGTGATCAGAAGCTAATTCCAATACTCATTTTTGAGATGTCATGTCCTGGAGAACAAGATGAAGGCAAAGCTTCTCAGGAAATAGTATATTAGACAACTAATTTCTATTTTATTTTTCCCAGTGTGTGCAAGATCTCTTCTGCAGCAAGAGAGAAAATGACCAAGGGATGTGGGGAAGAGGATATAACCAGCTGAGCTCTTTTTGACCTGTATTTATAGGCTGCATCATGTGTCATAGAAATATTTAGATGCTCAATGGTTCTGCCACACAGCTCATTTTACTTCTCTCCTTGTGTGGAATGAGAGCCCATACCTTTCCTGGGTTGATTTCTCTTTGCAGGAAATGGAGGCACTCAGAATAATTAGACCATGTTCGGTTTAAACTATGCACATAAACCCATGTTCCGTTTGAATTACAGTGTCGGAAGGCCATACCTATAAGAAAGAAATAACATTTCCATTAGTTTGATGACCTTTCCCTCTCCCTGATATCATGTAAGGTCAATGATCCAATAGGAACAGAACTATACCTTGGTGATTAAAATCGTAGATATAAGGAGGGCAGGGCACTGCTATAATTTTTCCTGCTGACCCTCTGGGCCAGCAGATTAGACCATCCCATTCTGGAAAGCACTCATCTCCTGTTGAAAAATGAAAAAAAGTTGCTGTGAAGAGAAGCTACAGAACTGCTTGCAGAACTGCACTTTCAAAACACGTGAAAAATGTTTTTAGAATCACTTCCCCAAAGTTAGCCGGTGAATGTTACTGAGGAATGAGAGAGAATGCTTTCTACTTCAGAAACTGAAGCAGAACAAAAATACAGACACTTTAGCTCATTTTGGTAAATAGTTGCAATACTAACTTGACTATTTATACATTTACCACAGAATAGCCATATTATCTGTTATAATAGCAAGCTATTGCATCTGAACATTACAAGGAAAGCAACATGCCAACTTGCTTATTTCTCACATTTCTTACACTTTGCCAAGAATCTTTTCATCAGTGCAACCATCCTATGAAATTAGATGGCTCAACATTGCCCTTTACCTAAAGTCAGCTCTATTGTTTCTGAAGGAGCTGATGTTTGAGGTCCTAGAGCCACAATCCTGTACTACCTTACCTAGCAGTAATCCCACCAAGCTCAATGCAAAGACAGCCAAGTAAATCTCCCCACTTGAATAATACCCCGCTTGTGTAATACCAGCTCCTCTGCTCAAGGGAGGCATTCAGTTAAGCTCAGATTTAGAGGGGGGTAAATTCAGCACCAGAACAAAGAGCTGCTCAGAGAATACCATCTCTGAAAACAGATTAGAATGCCGGCAGGTTGTTCAGACTGAAGTCCCCAAACAGGACCCTTTCTTTGGAAGGTAATAAAGGAATATACATTTTCAGAGAAATTCCAACATCCTAATAATTTTCACTCATTTTCACCAAATCAGACAGTTGTAAAAAAGGGAATTCAGCATGCAAGGGCTTGAATCCTTAGGAGACATGCCTTTCTTTTTTTAAGAGACAACTATTTGTTCTTTTACCACTCATGCACCTGCAAAAATGCAGCTTTCCTACAAATACAGCTTGTGGTATTAATCTAGGTGGGAAAAGCTCTACATATGAAAGAATCCTAAATTCTTTAGCATTCTTCCCACTTAGTTGCAGGGTCCATGTGTTTTGCAGCGTGCTTGTTTAGTTCTCACAGCAAAGCTTATCTATACATGATGAGACAAGGCGAGGGGGGGGGGGATTCAGCCAGCTTGCTGAAATTAGTGATATGGGCTGAGAGTGAGTGACTGGCCCAAGGTCACCCAACTGTAGAATCTGGGTCTCCCTGCTCCTAGCCCAGCACCTTAACCAGTAGGCAACCCTGGCTCTCTGTATGGATCTTGAGCAGGATGGAGGGGAAACCTGCCTGCAGAGCATCACATGTAGTGGACAGTTAACTCTGAATCCAAAGATCTCAGAAAAAAGTGCATGTCCTGTATTCCACCCTCAGTAATAAAGAAATCACCAGCTTCCACATTACATTGTTTTGAGTGGGCAGTATAAAGGAAGCAGAATGACCGAGGAAAAACACAGATACAGTGGTACCTCTAGTTACGAACGCCCCTCCTTACGAATTTTTCGAGATACAACCAGC